CATCAAGAAACAGTTTGAAGCATCTGTGTGTCACGGGCAGGGTATTCAAGAGAGCAGGCAGGATGACGAAGATGACGAAATAAAGGATATTTAATAATTTGCAAGCAGGAGATCCAGACAGGGTAGACATCAACACACAGGGTAACATTCACAATAACCGACAAACTCGAATACAAGAGACAGGAACAGATATAGGGCAGATAACGAGGGGCAGACAGGTGGGCTTAATGAGAAATCAGGAGCCCTTCCTGGGCTGAAATGGGGATCAGGAGCCCTTCCCGGGCTAAACTGGGGATCGAGAGCCATTCCGGGGCTCGACAGGGGATTGGGAGCCATTCCTAGGCTCGACAGGGGATCGGGAGCCATTCCGAGGCTCGACAGGGGATCGGGAGCCATTCTGAGGCTCGACAGGGGATTCCGAGGTCTCTCCTCCTCGTTTTGACCCTGAATTCCCTCAATATTCTGGCCCTTATGTCCCGCCATTGTCAGCTCACCCTCAGCCATGATGCCAGGGGGCGGAGCTCCTCTCCGCGCTCACACCTTCCACGGCTTGCTCCCTCGTGGTGGGCACTGTCACCGGCTCTCGCACCTGGTCTGACGGGCTGGGCTCAACATCTGAGGCGATCCTTCGCTCAGTCGCTTGGCTTCACTCTGGCTCACGGATTGCGGCGGGAAATGGCTCTCCGTCATCGGTGGGCTCTGGCTGATGCTTCGTACCGTGGGGAGATGGTGGGCTGGGCTCTGGGTCCGAAGTGGATCCGGCGAGATCCTCCACGGGGCCGATGGTGAGTGGACCCGTTTCTCGTCAGCGTCCACTCCACAAAGGCGGCGAATTTCTCCCGAGGACCATCTTCGGACGACTGCGCTCTGCACTCGGCGTTCAGACTTGCCTCATAGAAAGCGCAGAGCACATCATCCGGATAGCTGGTGACGTTAGCGACCATCAGGAACAGTCTGGTATGGTCCTCGAGAGTCCTGCCCTCCTGCTCCAGCAGGAGAAGGAGGAATTCGGGGCGCGTGAAGGGATCCATGGGGCAAACACAACGGAAAGAAAAACAGAGGAAAAAACGGAAAACAAATGGAGGGGAGAACATGGCAGTTAAACTGTTTTCTGGTCGGTTATTCTGTCACAGGCAGGATATTCAAGAGAGCAGGCAGGACGACGAAGATGACGAAATAAAGGATATTTAATGATTTGCAAGCAGGAGATCCAGACAGGGTAGACATCAACACACAGGGAAACATTCACAATAACCGACAAACTCGAATACAAGAGACAGGAACAGATATAGGGCAAATAACGAGGGGCAGACAGGTGAGCACAATGAGGTAATTAACTCATAACAAGAACAGGAACAACCAAATAAGGACACAGAGGGAGAAACCACACTCAACAGTCCACAGGGGTGTGACACTGTGCTGTTTGGATTTGATTGGAATTGAGTAGATAATCTGAACAACCGGTGTCATGACATGATCAAAGCACATAACCTTACTGCAGATCGCCTGCTAATAAATGATCCAATGATACAAAATCTGGGTCATTCTTGCAATGTGCAATAAATCCAGAGTGGCACCCTATTTTGAAAACGTTGTAGATGTCGACTCCTCTGGTTTTCAAAGGAAGCAGTGTCAAAAACTCCTCTTTGATGAAAACATCAAAAACCATCCGAATGAAAACAGCCAACTGAGCTGTATCACTGAAGTCCACTGATTCATCGCACTGAAGTGAAAACCATGTACACCGTTCTATGTCCCGTTTTAATTGTCCCATTGCATCTAAAGAAAGCAAGGAAACTCTCCATGCCAGAGTGTTGGCACTGAGCTGGACATCAGCAATAGCAGACATAATTTCTGTCTTGCTTTTGTGGTCCTTGAACAAAGTTTCAGCCACCGCTGTCATTGCTTCCTTCACCATGGCACCATCAGTGAATGGTTTCTTGTGTTTTGTCAAGATGCACGCCACTTTAAATGGCGCCTCCGTAACAGCATTTCCTCTCTTTATCGGTTTGGTGAATAAAGATTGCTGTTTTTGCAGTGTTGCTTTCAGCTGTTTTTAACTTTTCGGTCCGTAGCCCACTACCCGCAGGAAAATCTTGTGCAAAGTTCCCATGAACTTCAGTAAAATAGCGCACCATATTGCACCTTTTACCCACAGCAACGCTAGCGCCACAAATTAGGCACACTCGCTCTCCCATTGCTCATGAAAATACATTTTTTCCCCCTTTTTTTTTTGACCGCTTTCCATACTCATTCTGATGCAAATAGTTTTTAAGCTAATACTGCCTTGTAGCCTGATAAGCGTGATTACGTACTTGATTGAAACGTCGACCTTGCATATATTTTTTTTCTATTGTTGGTTGTTATTCTGTTATATTGTAATTACATCTGAATGTTTATACATGAATAATAATAAACTCATGGTCAATATGTCAAATAAATACTTTATTTGCATTGGAGGGGGTGGGACCCCGGTCTATATTAGCTCACTCTGATTGGATGAAAAGTATTCTTGGCGAGCTACGTTCAATCAGGCAACGAGCTACTGGTAGCTCGCGAGCGACATGTTGGAGACCACTGCTCTAAGTCAATCCCTCTAGCACCACCAACTTTCCAAAGTTGCACTCATGTTTATGCTAATAACTTTTGAACTGTAAGATCTAGAAGGAAAATTTTTTTTTCCTCTGAATCTTTGCTCATGCAGAGTCAAAAAAATTCTTAAGATCAAGATTTTTCGCAATTATATATTAGGGATCCGCTGATAGACACAGCTTTCAAACGCTCCCATGTGTATCGGTGTAAGCGCTCGGTGAAGAGTATGAAACGATGATCATTGTAGCCAATCACAGATATATCTGTTGAGCACGAGAACACAATGGCCAATCAGCGTTCAAAATACTAGCGGGAAATGCTGATATTGTCACATTTTTTAAATTTCAGTATCGACTGGTACCAAAGACTAGAATACCCAAGTCGTGTCACTCGTATAGTTTTGAATGGGGAAAAAGGCAAAGCTCAATATGGCCACTCTATCGAACGAAGCCCCGCCTTCTGAGTAATAGAGCCAATCGCCAATCGGTAAAGTCAGCATGTCACTGCAGCTGCCGTTAGAAGTCCCGGTTGCTATAGAAACAGTCAGCATTCTGAGACGTGTGCTCAGGACTGAGCATGCGCACTGTCTTGTCTAGCCTGAAAATAGGCTTTTTTTAACACAATTTGAGTAAAAGAAACAACATTTATGAAACAGTTGTTGTCAGATTTCATTGGTGATTTCAAATATGAAATTTAATCTTAAGCTTGGCAAACAGTTTTGGAGAATTTGATGTTTACCCGTTCAAAGAGATATGAGCTGCACTTGCATGCTCGAGAGGCGTTTCAAAGATGGCCGCCGACTGACATGACTTGCCTTAAACCCGAGACACACTGCACGATTTTCGGCTGTCCCAGATTGGCATCGTGAAACAATCGTGGCGATTTCTGTGATTGTGGCTCCTAATCGGTGGTCTTATGTCGTACAGTGAGAGAGGTTCAAAGACGGCCGTTGTTACGGTCTTGCGACCAAAGATAGCCTACGATAATTTTCTGACAGTGTCGCACAGTGTGTTTGCTGCTACGACCCACGTCTACTGACCAGCCAATAAAAATGCAACATGAAATCAACGTGACATCGAGCTAAAACATAAAACTGTTTACCTCAAGCTCTTATCCCTTCCTCTTTCACCGCTTCCAGTTTTTTGTCACCACACATAAAAACTACAACTGCCAAAGTGTGATTCATCATGCTCAAATGTCATTTAAAGATCGCTTCATCTGGAAAGCATCTGCTGTGTACAAACATCTGATAGACATCTTTAAGATACATACATTCTAAATCATAAACATCTTAAAGACATCTTCTAAACGTCTATTTGACATCTGATAGGGACATCCTATAGACATATTGCAGATGAGCAAACACTCTAAAAAATACATCTTGCAGATGTAAATGCAGACGTCAAATAGACATCAACGTGCTATCAAGGATCTGTCTAAAGATAGATAGATATTAAATTACACACACCACACAGTTACACAATGTTGAGTCATGAGAAAGCTTCTCATTATTATTATGAGAAATAATTTGGTAACACTTTATTTCGATAGTCCACTTTAGACATTCTATTAACAGTAAGTAACTTTGCAGCTACATGTCAACTAGCAGTTAGTAGAGTATTAGTAGACTGTCTGCTTAATATCTTCTAACACTTTCTTTGTCAACATTCTACTAACCCTAAACCTACCCTAACAGTCTACTCTGAGAGTTAGTAGACATGTAGATGCAAAGTAATGAGAATTAGTTGACATGTAGTTGACATGTAGTTACAAAGTTACTTATAGTTAATAGAATGTCTAAAGTGGACTATCGAAATAAAGTGTAACCAAAAATTATTATTATTATTATGAGAAATATGATGAATCGTTATTATATTTCAGAATATAAGTCATAATTTCTCATTACCAAATTATATTTTTCACTTAACTGTGGTGAAAACAGGCTTCCATAATATTATAACATGAAAAGACCAGATGTTGAGTAGGCGTGACGTTTATGATGAAAATGTCTGAAATGTCGTGTTCATTTACTTCTTCCTCATGGACTCGATTGTAAAGCGGGGTAATGCAGTCAAGAATGGAGAATTGTTTAAGTATTTAAAAAAGACAAGATTAATGGAAAGAGTTTGAAGCTTTGTATACTTTCAGTTGAGTAGTTCATAGCTGAACCGTGTAAGTTTTACACTCCAGACCAGTAGGTGGCGGACATGCACCTTTAACGTTGGTTCGTCAAATCCGCCAAAAAAGCTCTAGAGAAGAAGAATTGTAACGAGTTGATTTGCAGCTTCCGTCTGTCGTTACAGGTGTAGTACAGAACTGAAGTACAGGTGGCGGCAGTGAGCTGCGGACACAATCAATCAGTGGCGACGAAGAAGACGGCGCTGGCCGCCCGTTTGTTGTGCAGTACCATGAATGATAAACGCAACGTTTACACTTTCGAGGATTACAAGTGCTCGCCCGATCCAGTATTCACAGTGCAGAGGGAATGTCTGGAGCCTGGCCCGGCGCCGATAGTGGTGGATAACGGCTCGTTCCAGTGCCGCGCGGGCTGGGCGTGTGGGGTGTCTCAGCGGGAGCAGCCGCGGCTCGTGTTCAGGTCTGTAGCCGCGCGCAGCAGAGGGGCCGCTCGCAGCGAGGCGCACGTGGGGAATGACATCCCTAACCTCGAGCCGCTGCGCTGGACCTTCAAGAGCGCGTTTGACCGCAACTTGGTGGTTAATTTTGACATACAGGAGCTCATGCTTGATTACGTCTTCATGCACCTCGGAATAAGCACCCAGGTAATGCACATCGTTTGCAGAACATAGAAACTTTCCATAAGGTAAAGCGTAATCTACAACATACTATGGCATGCTCTGTAATGCACTGACAGGTGCATGCTCATTACTCTAAGCGTTGTGTGCATACATCCACACATGCGTGTCTGTGTGCTCTGATGAGGGGTTTTCAGAGATAACACGTTGGAGATCTTTGTTTTTTTTGTCAAGTAGTTGTCTTTCTGTATATCTCACACTGTGACACTTCTGAGCCAGGTCTTCAGTCTATTGCTCTGAAACTATTGCTGCCTCAGCACATGGAGGATCAAACCTCATAAATAAATGTAATAATAGGAAAATAAATAAATAAATGACTTGATAAAACAAATACAATAATGAAATGTAATCCTGAATAAATTTTTTTCTCTTTATGTATTATTTTCTGTATTTGGGTCAAAGACGAGAGGTCACCATTTTGGTGTCCGCATCGAATTAAATTGACAAAAGTCATTTAAATGCATAAAAAACATGTTTAATGCAAGTAAAGTGTCTGCTTTCAAATTTAAAATAATATAGTCAAAATATGGGGGAAATAATGTCCTGAAGTGTACAATTGTGTAATGGCTTTGATTTGACCGTTACATCTTTACATAAACATTATAAAATACCAAGTTTAAATATATTTGTTTTCTTGGCATTTTCTAATTCACAGTTGGCTGTGTTATATTAAACAGACTAGGCCTATGTCTTAAAGTACTTAAAGGGTTAGTTCACCCAAAAATGAAAATTAGTCCATAAATTACTCACCCTCAAGTTATCCTAGGTGTATATGACTAGGGCTGTCGCGATAACTGCGATATCGCATTACTATTGCTATTGACGAGCAAACCGCAGAGGAGTGCAAGAACCGCAGCAACCGCGATTTGTGCGTTTTCTTTTTTTGTATGGTTATGCCTAGGGCTGGACGATATGGCCAAAATTTATATCACGATATATTTCTTAATTTTGGTCGATGCGATATAATTCCGATATCGATATGAACACTATTTAAAAAAAGCCTCATAAATACGGCCAAGAATGGCCACAACAGATGTCTGTGCATACAAACTTATGAAAAATTTATTTGCCAACTCTATGAAACCTACTCCTATAAAACGATATAATATTTTATGTCTTTATCATCACTTTTGATCAATTTAAAGCATCCTTGCTAAATAAAAGTAATTTTTTTATAATATAAATTGTAAAAAGAGCTTTTGTGTATAGTGTATAATGTTACAAAAGCTTTTTATTTCAGATAAATGCAGGCTGGATTAACCTGCATTATGTGTGGCTGTTGTGGGATATCTATAATTGGGTGAAGTACCCCGTCTCATTGCATTCGTTCTTGTACAGATGACTCTCGCTATACTGACTTACTAATGGTCTCTGACAACATGCTGTGTACAGTTTCTACACTCTAAAAAACACTGGGATAATAACAACCCAATTACGGTTATTTTTATACATAAATTATTATACGTAAATATAAGAAAGAATACATTTTAGGTTAATTTTACCCAGCAAATTGGGTTGCTTATTTAACCCAGCATGATGGGTTGGCTCATTTTTATTATAATACTAATTTTTTTTACTTCATACTCCACACAACCACTGGTTTGCATGATAACTTCCTTTATTTTCCTTTATTTATTTCATTTACAACATAGCATATTTTATATCGATTTTAATACATAGGCCATACACATTGCCATACACATTATATTTAAACTCATTTAACAAACATTAGAAGTAAAAATTTATCATTAAACAGAAGTAATTCACGTGTAATTGACCAGTCTCTGTAATTGTTTCCACCATGACGCTGCTGCTTCTCGTGCTCGAGCTGGAATCGTGTTTGGCGGGGAACGCGAAAAGACAGACGCGACACTTGTTTAAGTGACTCACACCGTGCCCTTGTATGATGCTTTGTATAAAATTGAACGGTATACAGCACAGTAACGATTTTATAGATAAAATAATATGAACACAAACTTGCATTTTACCGAAGAAATGCATCAATTCAATGGTGCTTAGAACTCCTGAAGAGGACGCAAAGCCCCCGCGATAAATAACTCAACCGCTGCATTACGTCTGACCCAGGATCTGAGTAACACAAAAACTACCCAAACACTGACAAAATAATCCTCCAAAAGACTCAACCTAGCATTTGGGTTGAAAACATAAGACAGGATTTTTTAGAGTGTAGTCACAGTAAAACAGAAGTTTCCCCAGAAGGGAAAATAAAACTGCATCTCTCACAGGTTGCTCTTTAAATGTGCCTCTACCTATATTTTTTGCAAAGCCCCAAACTATGTATGATTCACTGAAGTTTCTAACTTTAATTCCACATAAATATTTTTTTATAGGGCAGATTATTGATTAATAAAGACTTATTTGTGTATGTTTCCATGCACAATAATATAATATGAAAAAAATTGAACGCACGTTTAATGCAACTACTTGGACATTTCAATTTGAAAGTGCCGTGAAAGTGCAAGAAGCAACGTAATATCATTTTGCAGAAATGTAATCACATGCATGTTTTTCCAACTTGGCTGGGTTGAGCAATTTGAGGAATTGAGGCTCTCAAAGCTGTAGGTAAGATATTTTCCATACACCGAAAAAAAATTGAGAAATTGAAATTGCTAAAACATTTCAGAAATAATTACAAAGAAATTGCAAGTAATGCATTGAATTAAACATGAAATTCAGAAAGACTGAAATTGTGTACTGAAATACTTCAGTTTATAACTTAGGAATAATTGAACTTTCAGTGTAAAACTGCTACCGTGTGACTGACTGCTAATCCATAAACATTGCCTAATTTTGTCGACATGCTAATGGCTTCATATTGCGTTTCTTTGTCCAGGTAGGCAACGGTTTGTCATTCCAGCCTTTTGCGTTTCATAAAAGTCTTTTACCGGTGTAAAATCATATTAATAAGTATTGAGACAGCTGCCAGGATGGGGTTAGTGAGCACAGTTCTCTTAGGAGCAAGTAGCAATAGATGCTAATAGACATTAGCCTTAATTACCATGCCAATGGGCCATAGATAATTGCATTTACGTCCGTCATGGGATTTCCCAATAGTTTTGGAAAAGCTATGTGAAATGGCCATTTCAGCAGCTGGGCTTTTGTTCTTCAGGTCCTCGATACACTTCATATGCGCAGAATGAGCTTTGTTATTATACAGTTTTCACAAAATACTGTGACTGGAATAAAGGATGAGCTAGAGACATTGACATTTTTTCTGCTCTTTTCTCTTTGTCCAACGTGTCCCTCCATAGTATATCCACACTCCCATCTTAACTAGCCATCCTCAGAAACCATCTCAGGTGTATGCGTCTAGGCTAGCACTAATGAGCCCGTTGCTGAAGACATTATACGCTCCCAAAACTCAGAGGACCAGGGCAGGGCGGCGGTTTCAGAGCTGCCCTTCCCACAGGTATTCAGGAGAGAAACGCGCGTCTGCTCTGTTTAAAGGGTCTAATGAAGCCATTACATTCCAAGGAAGCCAGACTCTGTCTATAGATTAAACACAGGCTTCTGTTATTTCGGGGTTGTGACCTGCACAGACGGCTGCCAAGTGATGTCTAGTGAATGCCACAGGGGAACAGATGGTGCAAACTGCAAAGCACATCCCATATACTGTTTCTAACGTTATAGATGGTGACAGTTCGATGCGGTTACATCTGTAGAAGTAGAAACATTTCCTAAAGTGTAAAACTAAAGAAGTTATGTTGTGCATTTTAAGCCACTGCAGTAATATGCATATGGAAATGTATTTTCAAACGCATTGGATGTAAATATGTTTGTAACTTGGTTTATATGTGGAGAAATGAAAGAATCAAAATATGAGGCTGAAAGAAATCTATTCTTTAATATGTCAGCGTGTTTCAGCACATAGGTCTTTATCAAGATTGCAAATGAAGAAAACTCGTTTAATTCAATTCAATTTCAATTCAACAAATTTATTTCGGTGCTCACAGACAACTTTTCACAATAAATAAAAAATAAAAATATACATAATACGCGAAAAAGGTGTAGGCTGAAGCCTTTGCTTACTATGCTTACCCTTTATACATATTTATTTAATAAGCGTCACTTTAAATGCAAACAAAGACTAGATTTGAACTTGCAATCAACCAATCAGAGAATTAAAACAAATCACATGACATACATGACACAATTTGGTTTATACACTGCACAAAAGTTTCTTACTCAGTATTTTTGACTAGTTATAAATGTCAAAATATTAAATTAAGATACATTTACTTGAGAAGCAATATTAAGATATCATATGAAGTCCTATGTTCTTATAAAAAAGTAAGTGATTTTGTGTTTAAGATGGGGTCAGAAAAAAAACTTAATTTAAAGGGAAAACAAGTTTAAGCATAAAGACACTTAATTTTGATGCATTTTTCAAAAAAGAAGTCTTATCTTGTGTAATCTTGCTTCTCAAGTGTAAATGCATCTTGATTTAACAATGTTTATATATTTGAACTGAAAACAATGCAAAAATATTGATGAAAAAATATATTTTGCAGTATGTGTAAGGTATTTTTCCTATTAAGCAACTTACTAAAGCACAGTTTTGTAATGTATTGCTGGAGCATCGTAACTGTCCCTTGGGTGACTTTAGCGATCAAGATCTTTGACAATGTGTTAGCTCATCATCATTATCAGCTCTCAAAAGTGAGAGACTCAACCACAGGACATCAAACACAACATATGTTGCCAATTAGTTTCATTTGCTCATTTTATTTCTATAGGCATCTCTACAGACAAAAGTTCATGAGGTGACAAACATCATAATATGGAGGATTCAGAATGCAATTTTGTATAAAGATGTTTTAATGCACTTCCTAAACTCTCTTATTAGATGATTTGTGCAATTCCTCACTACTCTTGAGCAAAAGAGTATTAAGACATTTTAATAGATTTGAATTGTGGTTCCGTTCAAACAGTCTATTTCAATTGAT